TATCTAGGCACGGCCTCGGAAGGGCCCCAAACATCTCCCTGGAGGCGTCGCGAGGGAAAAGACGGACGCGGCTCGGCTCTGCAGTTCCGTTCCCGACGCGCCACCAGCCCGGCCGAGCCCGCGAGCGCCCTTTCCGCCTGCAGCCCGGAGGGAGGGGAGAGCAGGGACGGGAGGCGCGGGGGCGGCACCAGCCTCAGCGTCTCCTGCGTTTTCCGGCCCATGCATCTCGCTCGCGGCAAGCCCCCCCCCCCGCCCCCGGGGAGGAGGCCCTTCCTCGCTCTCTTCTCCTTCCATGCACCGAGCAGGGGCAGCGCGTGGCTCGGAGGAGGCATGCAAACAGTCGCACGAGCAGGGACTGCACGAGACCGAGGCGTCTTTTTCTGCAGAGCAGCACCGAGCGGCAGCAGGCAAAAAAAAACCAGAGGACGCATCGCCGCCGAGGCGAGGCCACCACAGGGCTGTCAGCCTACCTGCAGGGGCCGAATGGGTCGTCCATGACAATGACGGGCTCTTGGTGGGCGCAGCTCTTTCCCCCCCTGACCTTGCCGCTCGGTGGCGCGGGAGCAAAACGAGGCGGGGGGGAGGTCTGCCCGGAGGGGGGGTGCTCCTTTCCCTTTTCCCCCCTCCCTGCCCGCAACTCCTCAAAATGGAGGCCCAGGCAGGCAGCGGAGACCTGAGCGCGCTTGCAACTGAGCTTGTGCTATGACCTAAGCCTGCACGCAGAACGCAGAAACTTCGCCCTCGGACTGACAGCACTGAGCATGTGCTGTGACCCCTCCCTCGGCCACGCGACGACGCGCGCAGGCCCGGCCCCGCCGTTTCCGTAAATAAAGCGCAGCCCCGCCACGGGAGGGGGAGAGGAGGGAAGAGGCGGCGGAGGCTCCGATTTGCGCCGGAGCAGGCGGGCGGGAGGAGCGCGGGGCCCCGCTAGGGAATCCGAGACGTGCAACGCTCTCAGAGCCAAGCAGCAGCACCTCAGCCGCTGCCACCGACAGCCTCCTCCCCCGCCCCCTCTCCCCCACCATTTGCAGTCAGCAGGAGGGAGGGTGGCAGCTCCGGTGCTAGCCGAGCTCTTCTCCAAAGGGAAGGTCTCTCCCCCCCCCCCCTTTCCCACTGGGGTCTGCAGGCAGACCCGGCTTGCGGACTGAGCCAAGCGC